GAAGGAAAGAAGAAGGTCGTTATTGTTGTGCTTTTACGGTAAGAAGTTTTACGCGCATGTTATGACGTGAATTTTTTAGGAAAGTCTGCGCGTTTCGTCGGCGCTTCCCGCTCATAGATGGCGTTGGTGAGAAGTTTCCCCGTTTTCTTTTTGTTTCTCACTCTCACGTTTTCTTTGATTTTTTGCTGGGAGTTTTTCTGGTTTTTTCACATTTTTTTTTACTTTTTTCTCTTATTTTGCTGGTAGTTTCACTTTTTTTTTTTTTTACTTTTTTCTGTTTTTTCTTAGTCTTTCAATTTTACCGTTATTTTCTTCTCTCTTTGTCATTTCTTTTTGTGTCTTTTTCATGTTTTTCCATTTTTTTCTTGTAATTTTCTTGGTTATTTCCTGGATTCTGTTGGCCGTGTCACCTCGTTATCTCCATTGTTAATTTTTTATTATTTTTTTCTGCTTTATTAAACTAATTAATTTCTTGTTTATGTCAGTTTTTTCTGCTTCTTTTTTTGTCAGTCATCATTAATTTTATTTCCGTCAGTCATTTTTTTTTTTTTCTGTTGTTGCCTCTACTATTTGTATTTTTCTTTTTTTTTTTCCTATCACTTACTTTTCTTCGTTGACCTTCGTTGTCTTCATAGTATTTTTTTTATTATTATTATTATTATTATTATTATTATTATTATCATTATCATTATCATTATTATTTTCCATTTCCTTTCTCTTTATGTTCGTAATCCCTCTTGTTATTTTTTCATATCTCTTGGTTTCTCGCTCCTTTTCACTTTTAAAAATATTTTGATTATTTACTGCATTTATTTACGCCTTTCTTCATGTACTTTTATCTTGGTCTTATTATCAATTTTTCTTTTTTTTTCTTTTCTTATCTTTGCAGAAACGTATCACAAGAAATCTCTAAAACAACATTTTTTTCTATATTAGCAAACAAATGATTTTTTTTCCTTTCATCTATTCTTTTTTTATGCTTTACAAAACATCGCAATCTCTATTTTATCTATTATGTTATCTATTTTACTAATGTCCAGCATTCAGACAATCGAACAAGTATCAGTTTTTCTGTTTTGTTTTGTTTTTTTCTTTATTTCTTTGTTTCTTATTTTTTCCTATTTGACATAAGACTAAAATATTACAAATGACAGTTATAATCCTACGCTTTTACAATGATTCATGTTCATTTCTGTTTAAAGAGAGAGAGAAAGATTCTGCGTTCGAGTTTCCAAATAGTTTATTATTTTAGTTACGATGGTTATGTCATGAGGGTGAAGGATAGATAGATATATAGATAGATAGATAGAGATATGTATATATGTATGCATGTATGCACACACACACACACACACACACACACACACACACACACACACACACACACACACACACACACACACACACACACACACACACCACACCACACACACACATCCGCACAGACAGATACTATGTATATTGCATTATATTTATTTACACACATGCACATGGACGCGTTAAAACGTATTTATCAAAATGCAAACTCAGCAAATCAGATCAGATGAAATGGAGAAAAAATATCAATAAAAATTAAGAATAAAAAAAAATCAAACAAATCAAGAGAAAAGGGGAAAGAAAAGAAAAAAAATTGTAAATCTCTTCATATTTGCCTTCGGGGGAGTCCATTAACGTGAGAATGGGGGAGTAAGGTTTCCAAGCCCCTTTGGCGCCGCCGTTTTCCTTGAGAGAGGGTATACGATCTCGCCTTTAAATACTTCCGCAGTAAAGGTGATTTTTGCGGAGACTTTAAAGCGTATATCCAGAGTAACGGTTAAAGTTTGGCGGGACATTTGAATTTAAGGACGCATTTGTTTCTCTTTCTGTCCCTGACTTTCTCTTTATGTGTGTCTCTCGGTATCTATCTTTTTATCTATCTGTTTATCTCTTTCTCTCTCTCTCTTTCTCTTCTTTCTCTCTCTCTTCTATCTATCTATCTATCTATCTATGTTTCTTTCTTCCTTTTCTTTACTTTTTTTTTTAAAGTTTTTTTAAAAGTTTTTTTTTTTTGCGGTGATATTTTCCCCGCGTCGAGAAGGTTAAAATCACCGCGGTTTCAAAGAAGAAAAGTCTCAAACGCGAATATATATTTGATGATTATCATTTTCTATTGAGAGGGAAATAAAGTATTTTGTTGCGGCAAGAGTCTATGTTTGTTTATTTATCTATCCATATCTATCTTTATGTCTCTGTTTTGTCTGTCTATTTGTAGCTCTCACTCGCTCTCTTTCTCTTTCTCTTTCTTTCTTTCTTTCTTTCTCTTCTTCTTTCTCTCTTTCTTTCTCTTTCTCTTTCTTTTCCTCTCTTTCTTTCTCTCTCTTACTTTCTCTCTCTTTCTTTCTCTCTCTTTTTTCTCTCTCTTTCTTTCTCTTCTCTTTCTTTCTCTCTTCTTCTTCTCTCTCTCTCTCTCTCTCTCTCTCTCTCTCTCTCTCTCTCTCTCTCTCTCTCTCTCCTCTCTCCTCTCTCTCTCTCTCTCTCTCTCTCTCTCTTTCTTTCTTTTTTCTTTCTTTCTTTTTCTTTCGTTGCCGCAAATTTGTATAATAAAACTGAGTAACATATAACTTGTATCAAAATAATATCGAGAAAAATATATACCAGTTGCAGATACCGTTCGATGTTGCCATTTCATGTTCATTATTTTAGTTTCCTTTTTTTTTTTTTTTTTTTTTTTTTTTTTTTTTTTTTTTTTTTTTTTTTTTTTGTATTGCCTTCCTACCATTTTCGTTTTCTTTCACCTTCGTAACATTTTCATTCTTACTTTTCTTTAAAATAGAGACAAAAATGGTTTATTATTTGTATTTGCAGTATTTTATGGTATGTACATTTTATATCATGTGTGATTTATGTGATATATATTTTATATTATATGTTGCACAAAAGAGCTGTTGATTATAGACATCGTGTTGTGTATATGGCAATATAGCAAGATGCCCTCCATGTTATATCAAGCTTTATGTATATTTGATAAACAAATGAGCGGTACTGTTATTTATTATTTATTGATATTTATTTTTTATTTAAGGTAGGGGTGACTTTAAGTGTGTGTGTGTGGTGTGTGTCGTGGCATGTATGTATATATATAATCCAAGTGTATATTGAGTTTTATTGTAGTTGATATACATTTTTTTATGCTTTTGGACATTTCAAAAAACAATATCTTGTATTTTCCCCACAAGACAAAAAGATTCATTCTAAGTGCAATCACTTCATATCATAAAATTCTGTTTCTGTGTGAGCTCTCAAAGATAATATCATAGCCATTATGTTGGTCCTTATATAAGAAAATTTAAAAAATAATCCCTGTGTATAGTGAAATGTGGTGTGTAAGCCCCTTAGAGTTTTGTACACCATTTTTTTTCTTTCTCTCTTTCTTTTCTTTGAGTGTGTGTCTGTGTCTGTGTGTATGTCTGTGCTAACTGATCCGAGTAGCGTCTGTTACCCCCACCACCTTTCTCTCTCCTCTTACCGCCTCTCCCTCACTCCCCCCTCATTCCAGGTGTGTATGAAGAAGATCCGAGGATGGTGTGGCCTCCTCTGCCTGCGAAAGGAGGAAGAGGAAGTCCCGGAGAATGAGGAGGATGTGGTGGATGACAACTTCAATCTGCCTATCTCACTGGCTCTGCTTATACTGCTTGTGTACATCATGATGGGGTGTACAATATATACCATGTGGGTATTGTTATTGCTGTTGGATTGTTTATGTTGTTGTTATTATTGTTTTGTTGTTGTTGGATTGTTTTGTGATTTATATATTTCTGATGTACTATTCCCATTAATGCTTTTGTTCTTAATAGCTTATCAATTTGTCTCCTTAATTTAATCTCTCTTCACCTCTCCTCTTTCCCTCTTCTCTTTCCCTCCTCTCCCCCACACCCCCCCCCCCCCCTCATCTCTCTCTCTCTTCTCTCTCTCTCTCTCTCTCTCTCTCTTCTCGTCTCTCTTCCTCTCTCTTCTCTCTCTCTCTCTCTCTCTCTCTCTCTCTCTCTCTCTCTCCTTTCTCTTTCTTCTTTCTCTTCTCTTTTCTCTTTCTCTCATTCATCTCTCTGTCTCTTTTTTCTCTCTTCTTTCTTCTTTCTCCTCTTCAATTTCTCTTTCCCTTCTTTTCCCTCTCTTTTCTCTCTCTTTCTCTCTCTTCCTCTTCTCCCTCTCTCTCTCCTTGTCTTTCTACCCCTCTCTCTCTCTCTCTCTCTCTCTCTCTCTCTCTCTCTCTCTCTCTTCTCTCTCTCTCTTCTCTCTCTCTCTCTCCCTCTCTCTCTCTCTCTCTCTCTCTCTCCTCTTCTCTCTCTCTCCCTCTCTCCTTCTCTCTCTCTCTCTCTCTCCTCCTTCTCTCTCTCTCTCTACCTCTCTCTCTCCTCTTCCCTCCTCTTCCTCCCTCCCCCCTCTCTGTCTCACAAGCTGCCTCTCTCCCCCCTTCCTCCCTCCCTCCTCCTCCCCCGCTCCCCTTCCTCCCTCCTTCCCTCCCCTCCTTCTCCTTCGGCTCCCTCCCTCGCCTCACTCTCTCTCTCCTCTCCACCCTCCCTCCTCCTTCCTTCCTTTCCCTCCTCCTCTCCTCCCTCCTCCCTTCTACTTCCCTCCCTATCTCCCTCCCTCCTTCCTTCTTCTCCTCCTCCCTCCCCCCTCTCCCTTCCCCTCCCTCTCTCCTTCCTTCTTTACTTCCCTCCCTATCTCTCCCTTCCTTCTTTACTTTCCTCCCTCCTCCCTCCTTCCTCTTTACTCTCCTCCCTCCTCTCTCCCTCCCTCCCTCTCCCTTCCTCCTCCTCCCTCCTGCCCACCCCTTCTCTTGCTCTCCTCTCTCCTCCTCTCTCTCTCTCTCTCTCTCTCTCACTCCCTCTTTCTCTCTCTCTCCGTCTGTCACACACGCCTCCCTCCTTTTCAGCTGGGAAGAATGGACTTACTTCGAGGCTTTTTACTTCATCTTCATCTCCATGACCACCATCGGCTTCGGAGACTACGTGCCAGAG